CTTTCTGGAAAATTGCCATTTTCCATTTGTTAGGAATTTTTATAGAACACCACCAATATATGCCCTTTCTTTTACTATGGAATATGTGCTGGAAAAATTGCAGCAAACCATTACTACCTAATGAATAATACTTGTAAATCTTCTAGAATCTGTAAACATATTGTGCAATTCTGTATAGCTTGAGTAACCCACAGGTTGGTTTACATTAAATTTTAAAATGGGATGTCATATGGAAAACAATTTCATGAGAGTTTTTAAAATAAAATGAGCATTATTTTTTTTGTCTGAAAAAAATGAAAAGTAATTTTCTTGGCAGTCACTTTTTTGTTACTGTGACCCAAATACCTGACAAGAACAATTTAGAGCAGAAAAAGTCATTTTCATAGTTACAGAAGATTCAGTCCATGGTCAATTGGTGCCATTGCTCTGGGCCTGAGCAGAGGCAGAAGATCATGGCGGAAGGATGCATCAGAGGAAAGCTCCCTAGTATATGACAGCAGGAAAGGAGAGAGAGAGAGAGAGAACGAACGAACAAACTCATAGGGAGGAAATATAGCCACTAAGAGCATGCCCCCAGTGACCTCTATCTTCCTGAGTCACATCACCTGCTGGCAGTTACCACATAATACCTTAGTCATCTCAAATGATTAAGCCATCGGGATTAGTGCCCTGTTAGGACACAGCTCTCATAATCTAATCACTTCACTGTGAGCATTACTGCATTGTCTCCCATGAGCTTTGGGAAACTTATACCCAAAGCATAACACATTTAGTTGTCAAACAGTAAGAATTTTTTGCCCCGAATCTAAGTAAGTTGATAAAAACATACAGGGAGAAATTCTGTCCATCTTTAGCCTGGTGAAACTGCTTTCCAATACTCCTTTGGAAGCTCCGTCAGATACATCCAGGACAGCAACTCTTTGGATAATATTTAAAAACTATTAGGTCCCATCCCAAGTTACACTCCCAAAGCACCATGACTTACTGAATGCAGCAGTCATTCCTATGCTCACTGGAACCTTTGAAGCACGGCTGCATTTTTAGTTCATGCTTCTCCAAATATGAGAGTTGCTTGCTGTTCAGAGTCCCACACTGCCTTTGTCTTAGGGACGGTGCTGCATCTTCATACTTCGCTCCACTATCAATTAATGCTAAGGCACACAGCACTGGAGCTCTCCCAAGGTTCAAATGCAACAGGCAGTAATGAAACAGCCATGTGGTTCATGGAAGTTAATTGTTCATACTTAATGGGTCAACAATGATCTGGCTGGAGGGTGGTGCAACATCCTCAACAGAGCAATCAAGCACATGGGTGCCTCCTTTCTCCACAAGTGGAGTGTCCTCAATGGCTTCACATGTGCTTACTCTTAGGGTAACACCACACTCCTTAACTTCCTCTGTAAATTGGGTCAAGCTCACATTGGCTGGATTGTGAGTAGTAAGGCATGTTCCTTCTTTCATATGACACTCACAGGAACAAGGCAGTTTTTTAGATCCATTGTAAATAAGGTAAAAAGCACTCAAAGGGTCTATGAATGAAAGTGTAATAACTGAATGAAGAAATAATATCCACTTGAGATCCTCAGTGATTAATTATGAAGGTGGGCATGAGGGTACATGAAAGGAAGCTCCTCTCAAGAAGCAGCAATTCTGCAGTCCAGGGACACTGAGGCAATAGTAAGGAGGGGCAGGCACTGAGGTTCACCCTATCCAGCTAGAACTCCTGTGACATGCTCGGTGTGACCCTTCCACACCCAGGTGAAATACTTTTATGGGTCATCCTGTTAGAGTAGAGATGAATTTCTACAGTTCATTTACTTGCAGAGATGTCATTATTTGCCTGGCAATAATGTCCACTGACTTTGAGGTACCCATAAACATGTGAGGAACTGAGGAATAGGTTTGCCCCCTGAAAACTGTGACATCCTCATGCAGTGGTTCATAGGGGAGACCACACAGGTGGTGTTGGTGTTGGTGGCTGCAAGGCAGGGGTGGCTGTATTGTTACTGGGCAGTGGCAGGAATGATGCAGGTCACAGTGGGGCACTAGATTGCCATGCAGTAAGCAGACCCTGGAAAGTGCCTCCCAGAGAAGGCCCTCAGCCAAGGAGCCAATACACATGCCAAGTCCAAAATTGTGCCTTTAGAAGTTTTTGTTAGTTATAAGTTACATGAGCCAGGCAGGGTGGGGTGCATAGCTATTATCAAGCTATCTGTGAGGCTGAGGGAGGAGGGGAATAAGTCTGAGGCCAACTGAAGGCAATTTAGCAAGAATGTGTCTCAAAATAAATAATAAAAAGGGCCAGGGATAAAGAATCCTGGTAAATGTCCCTATGTTCAATCCTCAGTTTTGAAAAAGTAAAAAATAATTTTGGGCATGTTGTTACGTGCATTTAATCCCAGCTACTAGGGAAACAAGGAGGAGGATTTTGCGAGTTTGAAGTCAGGCTTGGAAATTCAGTAATCAGCAAGATATTGTCTCAAATAAGAAAAGGGCTGTGTATGTACTTCATAGGAAGTTGGTAAGTTTCTAATATAACAAATACTGTCAGGATGGTCACTAATGTCATCCTGAATCACACACAGAGAGTGTGGCATGCATTTCAGGAGCTACAGAGATCCCGATCTCCTATTTGTATCTATAATTGTTGATAGGGGTCCCATGTGCATGGTGAGATTACAATACCTTCATTGCTCCTGACATGGATGTCACCAGGTCATATCTGTGCACATGTATTAGCACAGATTGAGAGTCCCCAGGAGCAGACTGGAGACTTTCTCCACTTCAGCTCAAAGCACAGTGACCATCTGTGACTTTTTTCCAAATACAACATTAAATCTCTGAAAACAGGAAGATGCTCTGATGGTGTTTTCCTGGTAAAAATAACATTGCAACACAATAGCTCTGTACACAAAAAGGCCTGGATTTTTTTAAACTAATGATCAATGAGCTTATAGGAACTCCTTTCCATGTGCATTTGACCCCAAACAAGTACTGGGTAAACTCTTCCAAGAAGCATGCAGATGTCCTGTCTGCCTTGAATATCTTAAAAATCCCATGTACCTGAAGTGTGGATGCATCTACTGCCTCTATCTGTTGGATTCCCTGCAGAAGGATTTTGGTGGGGAGGTATTCTGGTGCCTCCTGTGCCCTGTAATCTCTAGGAATAAGGATGTCTTTGCCAGTCTGCAGTTAGAAAAGCTGGTTTCCAAGATGGAGGAAAGGGAAGCCCAACTTCCAACAAGTGCAAGTTGTTCTACAAGTGTACCCAACAATGCAGAATTTCCAAGGTGATGCATTTGTATACCTTGCCACCTCGTCCCCACAAGACCAAGAAAATCACCTGTGCATTTGGCTGTGTATTCCATATGGAAACTAGATGTAGTCTGGCTCCTGAAATTTTGATGTTGCGGTGGCATTGATGGATCTCAGTCCTGATAACACGTAATATCACTTTGTGATCTTGACCATAAATGCTGATGTCTTTGTATTGGCTTACACAGGGGATTCTCCACACTTGGAGTGCTGAGATTGCCTGGAGTGGTTGGTAGGGAGAAGAGTCTAAAGTGGTTGAGTTCATCCAGGATATTGCAGGCTGTGGACCACACTTGAGAAGCAAACACAGAGCCACTGAACCAGAACTTATTTGTGGATGAGACATCCAAGAGTCTAACATGAAACTCTTTCAGTACCTACAGACTCACCAGTGTGGCCTGGAATTTGTTTCTTGAATATATCATCTGATTTGGGACTTTGCAGTGAAAGTTTAGAATAGGGCTCTATCTCCCCTGTGTGCTGAGCTCTATTTCCTTTTCATAGTGACTGTGACCTGGATGTTGACAAGTCTACACATGAAAAAGCTCAATTTCTAAAGCAGGCACTGGAAAAGATTAGCAGCAATAACTTATAGTGAAATCACACAATAATAACAATACACTATAATAAAATTAATCTGAATGTAGACTTTCTATCTGAGAATAAGACAAGCAATATTTTTGTAGCTCTGCTGATCACAGGTAACTGAAGCCTTGGAAAGCAAAGCTGTGGGGAAGGGGGACCTGCTATATGTTTCTCATTCTTGCCTTGTATTCCAGGTGCAACACAGTATATACATAATATTCCTGTGATGTGAATATGAAATAGGCCAGTTGGCTCATCCCAAGGAATCTTTTTACTAATAAGCTATTTATTCAGATGATGTGCCCTGGAGTCAACCTTGCTGCAGTGGGACTGGGTGTTCAACCTGAAGTTAGGGGTTTCTGGGTGTTTTCGGCCCAGGCATGGGGTAAAAGTAAGATGGACCATGGCTTGAAACAAGGTTATTCACAGGGTTAGTTCCCCTGGGCACGATGGAGGTACTCTGGTGATGGGGCTCCCAAGAGTTCAGGGCCACAAATCCCTTAGAGCAAGGTGTAGTTTATGGGGCTCTCTTCTGTCTGCTGTGATGCTCAGGGATCCAAAGCTGGAGTCAGATCAGGCTCTGCCTCTCTCCACAAGAAGCCCATGGGTCCTGAAGAACCAGGAAACAAGGAGGTAGTGTGGAACTTCGGGAAGTCTAGGCTAATGTGGTTAGAACTTGGGCTGTAAAGTATGTGGGCTGAATCGCCAGAGGTGGTAGGGGTAACAGAGGGAATACAGGTGGCGTGGCAGCAGAGGGAAGCTGGGTATTGCCATGGGTACCCAAGGTGTAATTTGTGTGTAATTAGTCCCCAGGCTGAGTGTGACTTCCTGTGCCTGGCTGGCTGACCTGGAGCAGAATTTGAGATCATGGCTAGAGCCAGAGCTGCCAGGTCCAAAAGGAGGAAAATGTTGTAAAATGGGGAATCTTTGTGCTGCTTCCTGCCAAGAGCTTCAAACATGGACTGAGCAGTGTCTCCAGGGCACACAGGATGTTACAGACCCGGCGAGATATCATTGCTGACCCTATGCTGAATCCAGTGGGGACTTGACATCCTGGGCCAAGGGTGGGAGAATGTTTCCAATGGATCCAGGGGAAGACCCTAAAGGAGAGGCAGTGAAGGGGGTGTAGTGTCCATAGGGGTAACTCTCAGAGAAATAAATCCTGCAGATGTGTTGGGTGAGGGGCTGGAATAGATGGCAGATTCAGTGCTGTACAGCTGTGGAAAAGCAGGGGATGCAGGATCCATGGTGAGATCCTCTGAGAGAAGGAGAAAGGAGACCTGAGTATCACTCAATGTACCTTTGGTGTGCTGGAGGACTGCTTCCCTTTGCATGTCTAAGTCTTGATCAGTGACTTGAAATCCCAGTTTGGATATGGTGGCAGCATTAGAATGTTCCATCTCCTATGTGACAGTAGAGGAATCTTGTGATTTCAGGAACTAGACTGTTAGGTTTAGGTGCTCCATTCCTAGAGGTCCCTGTCTGCTATGGGGGTGAAGGGTGTCTCCCAATTTGTCATATGGTGTCTTCAGAAAGATCTGAAATGGGAATGGACATCTATTGTCCCTACTTGCCCACTCTCTTTGAGGATATGAGGATCAGCTACAGTGGAAAGTGTCTTTTCTTCTGCACGAGCTGGAAACATCCACTGGAGTTATGTGAGCCTTCAAGGGCATTCTGCTGGGGGCAGGATCTCAGATAGAGGGTATGGGGTTGACAATGAGATGTTCTCTGGGCCAGCATCCCTTGTTGTTACCAGTTCATTTTGCAATTAGCTCAGCCCTCTCTATCCAAGACAGACATAAATGAGTAGATAATGAAAACATTTGTTAGAGACTTTATTGGGGCCTCTGCTGCAGCAAAAGTGAGCAGTACAACAGATGGAGGCATCAGACTGGCCCAATAAGAATGAAAGTAATTGTTCATATATAGACAAAAGAGCGGCTGCCTGAATGTAGCCATCACCTGCCTGCTGAACCACATTTGCACTCTCATGGCAGTCTGCATGGGATTATTGGGTTCCCCATCTTTGCTATTGGGTATGGGACAGGTATTCCTGAAAGAAAAAGTGGAGACATCAGAAGTACTTCCACTCTGGGTAGCCACAGGTGGAGTACTTGGGGCCTAGCAAACCTCCTCAGAGCCCATGACTGTTGCAGTGGTCAAGCAGAGCCCTCTGGGAAACCAAGACACCTGCAGGGACTGAATCATGGTCTAGTAGAAGCAGCGGTTGGCAGTGTGGTGGGACATGGTTTCCATAAACATCCTAGATCCAACAGTCTCTTTTGAGCAAGGGTCTCATCAGGGATGCACAAGTGGCAGCAATTGCCACAACCCATCCATACCAGGGATCCACAGGGGTGACAACAGCTGGTTTGACTACTTGGCTGTGCAATAGGGTGATTGTTGACTATCAGTTGAGCATGTGGACCACTGTATCTGACTGTTGAACAGTTGGGAACATGTTGTTGCAGTGACCAAAACAGATACCCATCTGTTTCTTTCCCATCTTTCCTGAGGGACAGGGGCTTCTTCCCTGTATTTCAGGCACTGTGACCCTACCTCTCATCCTTAGCCTGCCTCCTTGCTTTTGTCCTCTGAAGAAGTAGCATTTTTGTCTCTGCAGCACAGGGTCCAACAGAGGTCACAATCTGGCAGTGGTGGCAGTGATGAAGCAGGCATTAGGGACACAAGACTACCATGCCCTGTATGGCCCCTAGGAGAGGGGGCCATATCCTTTTACTGGTCCACAGTGGAAGTAACCAATGTGAGTGTCAAAGACAGAATTGTGTCTTGTCCAGTTTTTCTTCTTTATTAAACACATGGAGGCTGAACTCTTTTTGTATTTGGATATGGAAGGACCATGGAATCCAGCAAATATCAAACACCAAATCATCAGTTGCAAAATGAAACTGTTTATCAAATCACATTCCATTAGGTTGTCCTCCTACAGTTCTACTCCAAGAACCATGCTCATTGCTCTCAGGCTGGAATCTTCTCATCATAGGACAATCCACATTTGAATAAGTCTAATATCAGGTGTTATAATTTTGGAATGAGGTGTCCCCTAGAAGCTCCTGTGTGAGACCAATATGAGAAAGTTTTATGTAAATGGATTGGGGTATGAGAGCCTTAACTTAATCTGTTCTTTAATCCACAGATATGGATTATCTGGGGGTAACTGTAGGCAGGTAGCAGGTGGTTATAAGAAGTAGGTAACTGGAAGAATGACTTTGGTTGCTTATATCTTCTGATTGGTGAGCTTGCACTCTCTCAGCTTCCTGGTGGCCATGTTCTGAACTGGGTACTTCCACCACACACTTCTGTTATGATGTTATGCCCCTTCTTTGTTCCAGAGTTATGGAGTCAGCTGTCTGTGAACTGACCTCTGACTCTGTGAGCCAAATAAACATCTCCTCCTCTAATGGTTCTTGTCAGGTCATTTGATGATTTAAAAAAATGGAAAAAAAATAGCTGACTAGAACAGAAATTGGTACAAAGAGATGAATTCCTTGTTGTGACGAGTCAGACCATATTGTTCATGAATTTCTGGCAACTGTTGTTATTTGAGGTAAGAATTTTGAAACTTTTAGAGATGCAAGGTGGAAAAAAAATTGAATATTGCAAGTGGAATTTATTGTGTGACTCTGGTGGAGGCTCAGAAGACTAGAATGGTGATAGTATTGTCCATGGGAAAGGCTGTTCTCCTGAGATTGCAGCAGAGGAGGACACCATTGCAAATGCAAACAGAGGCCATTCATGCTACATTCTGGCATAGAGATTATATGCATTTTGCACATGTTCTGTCACTGTTTGTGTGGCTGAATTTAGAGGTGATGCACTCATTACTCTGCTGGAGGAAATTTCAAGGCAGCCCAGCATTCAGTCTGTGGTGTGGATATTGCTAGCAGCTTTTCTCCAGATTTACTCTGATAATGAGGAGTAGAAATGAGAGGGTGAATGAAGTTTGGAAAGAAAAGTCAGAGTAAAACTGGGTCTCAGGAAGATGTGGTTGTTAAAGAATTACAGTCACTACAGAGATTCTAAACAGTTTACTCTGAGACACTAGGAGATATGGCTTGGGAACATCTCAGGAACTTGCAAGACCACCCAGGCCACTGCTCCACTGCTCTAGGACAAGGGCTTGAATTCCACTCAATGCCTTTGACCTGTAGATTTTGGATTTCTTTCTCTGGCTTGTACTTTTGACAATTTGAGGATCATATACCATGGTGAATATCTCTTCAGGCAATGCCTATTTGGGGTCCCATAGGCTTCCTTTACATGGATGCCCACATCTTCCTATGATTCGGAGAGTTTTTTTCTATGACTTCAATGAACGGGCTTTCTATGTCCTCAACTTGACTCTCCTCATATTCAGGTGCTCTGAAGTGTGGACATCTGTGCATTTAATGGTATTCTAAGAGGCTCAAATACTTCCTTCATGTTTTCTATTTTGTTTCTCTTTTTCATCTTAAGAGCTCTGCTTCAAGGTCTGATATTTTTTGTTTTGTTTCATGTACTCTGTTGTTGGGGATTTCTAATGCATTTGTGTGTGTCAGTTCTGATCAACCCTGTGCATGCCCTCTATGCCAGAGAGGTTTTTTTAAGGATATATTAATATGAATTTTGAGATTATTAGGCTGTATGATAAGCAAGTTTTATATGTTAACATTTAAAATGTCTTTTGGAAATAATCCCAGTTTGATCTGTGCTACATGGTTTTATAGAATACCTTTTAGATATTTGTACTCATGTGTGGTAAATTTTTGTGCCATATGCTGAAAGCCAATGTCCATGAGTAATTGAACTGCAGTCAGGGGGAGAATTTATTGTAATTGAGAATCATTCATAATAGATCAGTGGATGAGAATAGATACTTTTAGAGTCAAACTCAGAAGGACAATTGATGTTAAAGAATGGTACAAAGGAAGTTCAGTGGAGGAAAGGGAGAGTTTTTGAGAAGTGTTTCTGAACACATATAGTATATGGGGATGGAATGTAGAGAACCCTTCTCAAAATATAAGAATTTGTCTCCTATTTAAAAGGACATAAAGGTTATGTGAAAATAGGTCAAGAGCCCAAATTCAAAACATACATCTATGAAATTTTTATAGGATTAAATGTGGGACAAAGTTTTGCTCTTGGGTGAGATGAATGTTACTTACAGACAGTATCATCACAAGAACAAGAAAGAAGAAAAAATGACATCTGAGATAACAAAGTTTTATTTGGAAGATATCTCTGTAAGTGTAAAAGAGCAGAACAGAGATTGATAGAAATGATTGCAAATCATATAAAAACATTTGTTTTATGCCATATGAAACAACCCAAGCCATAATATGATAAAATTAAAATGAAATTGAAAGCACTGGCAAAATGCTTTGAAAAGAGATCATTAAGAAAGTCATACACACATCAAACACATGAAAATGTACTTGTCATAATCAAATAATTATCATAATAAAAATTGAGATCACAATAGGATACCACTAAACAGCAGTTAAAGAGTTAAAACTTAAAAGTCTGACTGCACAAAATGTTGGTGAGAATGTGTAAGGAATAGGACACTTCTGCACTGTTAGTGGCACGGTACCCTCACTTCCAAGAGCAGAAAGTCCAGCCACATAAAATTAAATAGCATATGACATAGCCCTTCTCTTCCTTTGCATATTTTTATAAGATCTTTCAAGAGACATTCACTTTACCTTTAATAACTGAAAACTACAATGTAGATATCCACCAATGGTTGGGTGATCAGCTTCCCCAGGTACTTTCATACAATGGAATACTCTACAGCAAAACACAGGAATGGCTCACTGACACAAACAAAAACCTGTCTACCTCACAAAATCATTATCAGGACCTGGGATGATAGCTCAGTGGCAGAATGCTTGCCTAGCATGTGTGAAGCACTGGGTTCAATCCTCAACACCACATAAATATGAATAAAGTAAGTATATTGTGTCCATCTATAATTTTAAAAAAGGATAAAAAAGAAAATAAATAAATCATTATAGTTTATGAAAGAAACCAAACATGTCACTTTGTATATACTCATTTGCATACATTTATAAAAAGTATTGACACATCAGTAGTGATGGAAATCAGATCCACAGCATCTTGGGGATGAGGAGGTGTAACATGGACAAAGTTGGAAGGTAGGCCACAGGAAGGAGCATGAAGAATCGTTTTTAGGGTTCACTGGACACAATTATACAATCACAGTATTTCAGTATACTGAAATATATTTCAGTATATTTTCCTATACTCCTTTGCTCCCAAGATCTGTCATCTGTACACTGATTTTTTTTATTAATCATTTTGAGTACCTTGTGGATATAAGCGAAAGCAAATTTCACCGTGATGTATTCATATAACTACACAGGAAGTTTGATCAGATTCATTCTACTATTCTTCCCTTTTCTCCACCTCAATCCCCATCCTCTGCTCAACTGATGTCTCTTCTATTTCCATGGCATCTCTCCGCACAGCACACACATATACTTTTTCTCCTCTTTTTTTCTGTACTTTGGTTCAGCTTCTGAGAGAAAGTATTTGACCTTTTAATTTGTGTGTTGGGTTTATTTCACTTAGCAAGATGATCTCCAGTTCCAACCATCTACTGCAAATACCATAGTTTCATTCTTCTTTATGGCTAAGTAACAATTCACTGGTTGTATAATGTGTGTGTGTATGTGTGTGTGTGTGTGTGTGACATTTTGCTTGTGGATTCATGTGTTGTTGGGCACCTAGGTTGATTCCATACCTAACCAATGTAAGTTGTTCTCCTACAAATATTGTTGTGGCTGCACCCTGCAGTATGCTGATTTCAGCTCCTCTGGTTATACATCAAAGCGTGGGAGAGCTGTTTGATATGGTGAGTCCCTTCCTAGTTTTTTGAGGAACCTCTATACTGCCTTCCAGAGCAGATGCACTAATTCGCAATCCCACCAACAATTTATGTGTTCTTTTCCGTATCTGGCATGAGGAAGACAATGGAACAGATAGGTGAATTTTCTTAAAAAGGATCATTGTTTTATGGGAATAGGCAGC